ATTGGCCTTTGTTACGTCGGAGATTTTACATGTACAGTTTTGGCGCGCGCGTCTGGAGTGTACGCTCCAAAACTGTGAGAAAAACTGTCCGTGTAAATGGGCCTAATGTCTTGCGTTGTTTACATTTTTTCGAATCTAACCCAATCCATCTCCCACCCATACAACAATTATGGGGTGGACCTCGCTTCGCGTTGTAAAGTATATACGTGGACGCAGTGGGTTTCGCCCCCCTCCCTACGGGGGGCTCCACTTCCGAAAGATATAACCTAACCCAAACCTATTTCTGATTTAAAACTAAAATTTGGTTTGGGTTACGTTATATAATCCAAACCAAATTTTCGTTTCGAATTAAACTTTAACTTTAAATATCTCAAAAATTATAAGAGACCGCCGATTAAGTTATAAGGAAAAGTTACTCAGGATCATGATCTTGACAACATATATCAAGATCAACATCGTTGGGTCCGTTTTTATAAAGTTTTATTATCATGTCCAATACTTTAAAGTGATATATCTCGAAAACTATTGGTCGGAAATTTTTTTACTATTTTTCCCGTGTTTGTCGTCAAAAATGTCTTCAGAAACGACCTTTCAAATAGGGGGCCGTAATTATCGTAATCACCCCTTTCAACGGAATCAGCATTAAGAATTCGTCTAACAAGGGAATATATGGAAGTGTTCTTTGATTTGAATGGGCTTCAAATATATTATAGAACAATTTTAAAAATAAATATGTATCTTTTTTTAAAATGAGCATTATCACAAATGTATTCAAAAGTTTAAATAACTTCCCAAAAATAATTGAGTATATGTGATTTCGAGCGAATATCAGCGAAATAATAAAATATATAAAAATGTTTCTTGTAATACTCTTTATAATTATACGTTAGATTTTTTACCGAAAATGTGATATTTTTCAAAATATTCTCACTCCACATTAAAAATTTCATGAATTTCGAATGTTTTGTAAGGCCAAAAATTAAAGAGCGCTTTACTTCAAATTTATTCATATATGATAATATGACTTTCCGAAACCGCATTTTTGGAAAATGAGTTTCACAGATCGCTTTTTACGATGTTATATGCGTCACGTATCTGTGCCGCACTTATGCTGTGCATTATTTGATAACATATAGCTTGTTTGATATTATATTTTATATTATAAAGCAACAAAACAAAAATATATGTTTCTAATTGCATATATACATGTAATGTGCTAGAAAATATTATAATAAATAATGTGTATATTTAAAGATATTGATTAAATAAATGCTTAAATGCATCTAAAGAATGAAGAAAGAAAGAAAAATACATTTTATTCTGAGACAAAATCTATTTAGTTCTTCGTTAAAACACAAAAAGTTATAAAATTTATTTATCAATAAGAAGTAAAAAATGAAAAGTAAAATATAGCAAAGATAAATAAAGCTAATATACAATAAATAGGATATTAAAAAAGTATCACATTTTCAAAAAAATCTAATGTATAGTTATAAAGAGCATTATAAGAACCATAAAATTTTTTGATTTAAAACATGTTTTTTTATATACTTAATTGTTTCGTCAATATGCGCTTAAAATCACATATACCGAATTATTTTCGAGATTATTTCAACCTCTAAACACATGAAAATCCTCTTATAAAAAAAATACAAAATCTCTTATTTTTGAGCTGCTCTGTAATACATATATTCAAAGTCCATCCAAATTGAAAAAAGCTCTTCTATATATTTCTTTTAGGTTTGAGATTTAAATATTTCTTCAATTGGAAGGACCAAATCGACCACATTGAAAAATTTATATTCTATAGAGATTTTTAACTGTCGTATATAGTGTGGGAAACAGATTCTAGGTTATTACTAATTTTATGGTCCGCTTTTTAATATCAGAGAATTATATAGATTATAATTGTTTCATATTTTTTCCACAAGTTATCTCCTCAATAACCGAAACTAAATTGTATTCAATTTAAAGATTTAAGAATTACCCTACGAAACTTTTTTCCCATCAAGTTTGTTTTAGGAGAAAAAAACATCATATCTGCTTGAAAAATAAAATTTTTAGATGCTATCTGAGTACTAAAAATATCTAAATGTAAATGATCTATTAAATTCTTCGTTGGAAAATATATTAATTGCTCATGATAATATCCATACAGTCAGATAGAACTGATGAAACTATCTTACTTCAATGTTACAGGGACATGTGGTTGACAAAACCAAATTTCTAGAAACTGGGCCTCTTTTTATTCTTAATATTTCTCATCAATAGCTTTTCAATGCTCAATATTTTTGCAATAGTGTAAACTTAATTGCCAAATAATACAGATATTAAATTCAAAAATCTCCTTTTCCTTTACGGATAGCTCGAAAATGCTTAGATATTCTTTCACAGATTCTCAATAATATCAAAGGGTGAATTCATTTCTCTACAATTATCTCAAATCTGTCAATTCCTCTTATCAATTTCTTTCTGAGACAATAACTATACTGAAAAATGATTTAAAAATTTTATTCTCTGTAAGTCTCGAGCTTTTCTGACTCCAAGTTAATTATTTCCGCCTTAAATAGTTCTTTTTGTTAATAAAAAAATTCATATTTAATTTTATATATCAAAAAGAAAGCAAAATTACTTTAGAAAACAAGGATAATATTTAAGTTTGCATAGATATCCAGTCATTGTGGCATCTCAAGTAATGAACTGACAAATCAAAAGACAAAAAAAATCACTATGCAGAGCATTAATACCTAAATCAGGATGTCATCAAGAAAGGCTAAAAAAAATTTTTTTTTTGGGAGGTAATTTATATGAAGAATTATATTACTGATATTATAGTATGGTTGAGTACTATAGCATATTTTATTTAAATAATTTCTTTACCCGAAAAAAAAAAAAAAAAACATGATTGTACAAACTTTGTCTTAGCACAAAAGACATGGAACAGATTAAGATATTCCTTGATAATCTACCTTGATAAAAAAAAAAAACCTATTTAGATTTAATATTTTTAATTTGTCACTTCATCTCCGAAATATGTTAATCACGCCTTTAGAACTGTTCGAGATTTACTTTACAGAGAGGAAATATGACTAAGACTCTTGTAAAACATTACAACTTTCTCGTGATGCTAATTGAGTCCAGATTAATTGATTTAGAATCAGAAAAAGTCACATACATTCTAAAGACATTATTAAAAATGTAGACATCAGTTATCTATGGTTACGACACCTCTCTTTGATACCTCTGAAAAATTCTTAAAATACAAATTAATTTTAGAAGTTAATTCTGTTTTAAAGCTCTGAATAAATTGTTATTTAATTTTTCTTTTTTTTAAGAATAATTTTCTTTTATTTCCTGTACAATTTGTGATTTTTTCCTATTGTTTTTGCTTTAAGAATTACATTCAAAAACTTTGCTAGTTCAGTTTAGCTACAAATAGTAAACTAACAATTTTAAATCATCTCCAATGATTAAATGTTTTTATTTTATATCTTATTTATATATGCATGCGTGTGGGTATATGCACGTATGTGTGTACGTGTATATTGTCTTTCTCCTCATTAAATGATAAAACTTTTAATCATATAGTTTTAATATAATCGCTTCATGTATTAGTCTAGATCTGTAAGCTATATTCAACAAATGTATCTTTGTAAGTGCAACATTACTAAAAATATTATTTTAAAAAGTATATATATGTTACTTTAAATAAATTTTAATTGTTATACCTATTCTCACATGTGTGTGATAAAAAGAAAACTCACATTACTCACATAATACATCACAGTAATACATCCTACAGAAAATTTCTTTCCAATAGATAATCAGTTAGTATTTTCTGTAAAATTTTTCTTTAGCCTAAGCAATGGGATATTGTTATATACACAAGATATGAGATATTATAAACAGATAAAGCTGGATAAAGCTGGCCTCTTAAGATTAGAGCTCATGTATACCCTATGTATTCAAGTAAAAAAAGAATACACACAATCTATATTTATTATGTCTATGGTTATCTCAGCATGTCTGTTATATCAGCATAGCAAAACGAATATTGCAATACGCAGTATTGCAGCTTTTATTGATATAGAGTAAATTCTATTTTTCTCTCAATAATCAATCAGATAACTTGAGACAACCACAACTTGCAGCTTTAGATATATAGTACACACGGAAGTTTTTTTTGCTATATTCTTCTACTTTCAAGTTTAATCACAATACTCACTTTACGAATTGATACACTATAAATCGATTAAAAATCACAGGCGCAAAATCGTTAATCAGATGTCATATGTCGATGATAATATAAAATTTTAATTTACAAATTAAATTTCAACATGTAAGTAAAAAATCAATTCAATCATTAATTAAATTTCAGCACATTAGCAATAATTTAATTAAATCACCGATTAAATTTCTTTGTATATTTAATAGCAAATTAAATTCTGGCATGTTAAATTAAAAAATTCTTGCATATTGACAAAGTCAATTAATTGTTCATGCATATTGATAAAGTCAGTAAAAATAGAGTTTTATATATAAGCAAAAAATTATTTATGTTACAAAATAAATTAATAATATGCATTAGTAATGTATTAATATAGTCACGAATTATATTCTACATTACCTTCCCAAAACTTAATCAAGCGACATATTAAATTTATTGCATGTTAACAGAAATTGAATTAATCTGCAATATTAATTTAAACATGTTTGTGAATTTTTTTACATATGAAATATTAATTAAGTTTTGAATTGTATATATGTATGTGTGTATATCACACACACACACATACACATACACACACACACACACGCGCGCGCGCGCGTACGCACATATACGTATATATATATATATATGGTGTGTATATGTATGTATACGTATGTATGTGCGTAGTATGTATATATATGTATGTATGTATTATCAGGAGCGAAATTTGGTGCAGGTGTCTTTGCACAAAGAGCAAAATAGAAGAGGAAAAAAAATCACACGGCTGTACCTCACGAGAGACCCTGCGGCGTGAAGCAGATCTTCTCCAGTTCGCCGGTTGATGAACTGACTGGCGATTCAGCTCGGTCGTCCTGCTCGGTCGCTAGTTGTTCGCTGTAGTAATGGGGCGTGCTGAGATAATCGATGAGTCGACGGGGTAATGGCAAGGTCGGGATCAAGTCCCTACGCACCATCTTCAGGATGACGAATCTGCAAGTGTGCTGCAGACTCTGTACTTGCTTGAATCGCGATACCGGATGGAGCAGCTGCACTCGCATCGGACCCAGAACTGGCCGCCGGTGCAGGAAGAAAAGATACCGACCGCTACGTGAATGCTCAACTGCATTCTCGATGAAGTCAACAATAGTATGTGACTTAAATTTTGTGCAGCTACCAAAACTGAAATTACCTGCTTATCGAAAGAAATGAATTTGATAAAAGCGTACATATTTCATATGATAGTCCTGAATCCTATACATAGTACGATTAAACTTACCCTGATCGTGTTCTATCCTTACATGTCGCACACAACTGTTAAGTCTGAATGATAAAGAAAAAATATAATGATCGTCGCTACTGTCCCGTACAATAAACGAGCCATCTGGCTCGTTAGATAGTATTTTCTCCGCCGCTTCGCCGGATATAGGTCCCCAGTACCATCCATACTATTTTGAAAAACGATTTTATATTATATAATACCTGCTAATTCTTTAAATACCAAATATAAATCGACGAATAAAACAAATAAAAATAAACGTACATCTTTTACTTTTTCGATACTGGCGGCAAAATCCATACTCGTGTCTTCTGCGATATCTTCTTCGAGTCGTGCGGCGGGCGACAAAACTTGCTGTTGTATCAAGCTCGGAGATTCGCACTTAGGTGTCATTGCTGTAAGAGCCTCTTCTGCTTGCTCCACATTTACCTGACTATTACTCTTGGGCAGAGGTGGCAACGCGCGCTTGAAGAACGGCAGTTTTTGCGCGGACGGTTCCATCTCGGATGGAGCAGTGTTATTGTTATTTGCATGCTGATCAGAATCAACACTCTCTTCCTCTTCGACGATCTCTCCCTGTACGATGCTGTTGCGTTTCTCCACAAAATGATCCGGCGAACCCAGTCGCCGAAACCGAAAAATATTGCAAAGTGTTTGCTTAAGATTTAGCGAGAAATTACGCTGACTTTTCTTTATCTTCTCCCGCTCGGACTCGCTCTTCTCCTTATGCGATTCATCGCGTGTCTTCTTATGCCTAATGCTGACAAACGCGTTCCTCTTGTGTTTCTTCACATTATTAGAATTATTGTTATGATTGTTATTATTATTGTTATGATGATGAATCATCAGTCCATTACTGGTATTCTTGTTGGATACCGGTGTGTCCGTGGACGAATCCGTATGCATATTACTGTTATACCTATTATTGAATAGTTAATTTGACAATAACTATAAACATTTAACTTAAAATATGTAACAGCAAACGTAATCAAACAGCCCACAACAAAAACTAGTTATTTTCCAGACAAAAATGTTTCTTTGCCTAACTTATCAATAGAAATTATATGTTGTGTGTGTGCACTTACCTATTATTATTTATACTGAGGGGTTTGGCTGTCGCGGCAAGATGCACTGGTGTATGGCCTAGTAGCGGCGTTTTGTCTCGTTTGATCTTGTTCTCGCTAGAGTCGCTCGAGCTTGAATATAACGTCTGTAGATACTGTCGCACTTCGTGTAGAGTCATATGGATCGGTTCGCCAATATTGTGTGCGTGTCCATTCGATGTTTTAATATTGTGACGTCCGGAAGTGCCTGGTACACTATGCCGTTTGCCACCACCACTACCTGGGTTACCCTCGTTACAACAGACATCAGCCAGCAAGCGTTGAGATTTAATAACGTGCGTGATGGCGCGGGACTTGCCGCAATAGTGGCGTGCTTGCTGGATATGCGCCTCCAACTCACTCTGCGAACTCGCGGAAACGTTTCGCCGTCTCTTGCGATGATGCCGGTGTCGTTTGGGCCTTTGTGGTGTCCGCAAATCGTGCAGCGGTCGTACCATGTCGATAGGCACCGTGTAAATATCCGAATCAAACGGCACATTGTACATATCACTTATTTCGCTTGTGGTCAATACATCATGCGACATGGCGGATGTGATAAAGCTGCTGTCGTCGGCTTTGTGGCCAAGTCCAGAGGTATTAATGGAATTATGTGAACTAGATAGTCTCGACGAAGCCAATGAGCAGCGCGAGTTCGGCCGATTCAGTGTATTGTACGGAGTAATAGTGATGGTAGCAGCACCCTGGCATACTGGTGGTGTCATTAGGTCCCATATGCGTTTAGAATTGGTCTGTTGAGCCCGTGTTATCACTGAAATCGGATTCATAGTAGGCGCAATTCTTCCTTCCGGCCAGGAGATGCGACAAGAGATCACTAGCGCCTCATCTACTGCTGATTGTACTAGGCTCTCAGCATAATCGTCGAACCAGCATGATATTCTATGTCTCATCAATCGTGCATAGTTCACAATTGGTGCTGACAAAGATTCCGAATCTGGTGGCGACGGACTGTCCTGAAACTCTGGTGGTGGCTTGATTGCTACATCAACCACTTCAACCTCCAATTTGCCGTCTGTGTCACCCCAGCCTGGACCCTTCTTCAATGTGTTGAAATTCTCACTGCACATGCCATCCGAATAATCAAAAGAATCTTGTGATAGAGACTTACTTTCTATATCGCTTTCTTGCATCTGAAATTTTATTTCATTTCAAGAGTTATATGTCAGGAAAGTATTCATGTTTGTAACTTGGGATCAAAGGAGAAATGCATGTATACTACCTCCATCGCAAGATGGGCTCGAACAGAATCACTAGATATCGAACCTCCTAGGCCACTGCTACCAAGATCACTGAGAGGTCCAGCGCTTAGTGAACATGACGGCGGAGAGTCCATTTCAGATTTTTTTTACTTCAACTACGCGCTGGAAAGACTATAGTAGCCAGGATTTTTGATATTTCCATATTATTCTCTAAAATTTAATATTATAATTGTTAATATATTGAAATATATTTTTTATTTTGAAAATATCTTTAAATTAATATTAAATGCCTAACCTGATAAAAAGTATCACAGGCAATATATAACTGCCTTATGATTCTTATATTTATATACTGACTTGTACTCTGCGCATGGTCCATTATGAGTAAGAAATTGCAATGACATTCTAAAGCAACACAGTTGACAACCCTACAACAAAAACATGATAGTACAATTTGTGAATTTTAAGTGAGTGTAATATCATAATTTTAGATGTAAGTCATGAAAGTCAAAGATTTCATAATTTGTTTTGCCTATGATTAACCCCAATTTAAAGATTTCAATCCTAATTTATAAATCTTTAAAATATATATGTGCATTAGCATATAAACGAACAATAAAATTTACATTTTTTATAAACATATTAACAAAAATCTTTTATAAATATATCAACACACAAATTTTTCGCGGTATCTTCCGAGACAAGTTGACATCTCTAACCAAGTCTGTCAGTTCGACAACAGTGGATGTCGATTCTCTCACCGCGTATTTGATTAAATGCGGCTATTTTATCAGTATCAGTCACAATCCAGAAAGAAATAAAATGCTAAAATTTAGCCTTAAAGGCATAAATGACAAACCGGCCGCAGAGAGTATAGTCTCAAGCAGTCTCCGACAAGAATTAGAATGAAAGATTGACAGACTTGCGTTGTGATTCGCATCGCATGTCTCGGGAAGAGGTCGAGACTTTTGCCCGGGTCAAGTTCGACGTGGGAGAGGTAAGCGAACGATGACACATATAGCAATTACCTATGCGCTGAATTGACCGCGACGCGTATGCGATCCAAATCTCGCCGACGTCGTCGTACGAAGACACGCTACTCATGATTGTCGCATGACGCGCGCAAAGCTCATGCCGGGACCAATCGATATTTGTGAGTTAACGCGGAGCAGCCTGGGCCTTATATCACCTTGTAACATGATCGGTTAAGGGTCGGCAGGAGTAGAGATCCTTAAGCTCGTATCAGACTACGTATTGAAGATTGACATTTGACCAATCAGGATAAAAGGAACTAAAATTTTCTTGTCCTGATTGGTCAAATTTTAATCTCAATGCATAGTCTGATACGGGCTTTAAGGTACCTTTACATGGCAGCGTCGAGCGTCTGCGCAGAAAATTGCGCAGAATCTAATTTCAGCCTAGAATCTATCTCTTTTAAATTCTGTGCATTTTTTTGCGCAGACGCTCGACGCTTAATGCTGCCATGTAATGGCACCTTTAAGCCCGTATAAAGGCCGTATCAGACTACGCATTGAAAATTGAGATTCAAGATTCAAGATTGAAATCAGGACAAAGAAATTTTAGTCCCTTTTGTTCTGATTAGTCAAATTTCAATCTTGAATCTTGAATCTTTAATTTTCAATGCGTAGTCTGATACGGGCTCAGACTGCGCATTGAAGATTGAGATTGAAGATTCAAGATTGAAATTTGACTAATCAAAACAAAAGGGACTAAAATTTCTTTGTTCTGATTTCAATCTTGAATTTTGAATCTCAATTTTCAATGCGTAGCCTGGGGCCATATTCTTGAAAAATATCGCATACGATATTTATCATTGCGCAGTTATTTTCCGATATATTTTAGCTGCGCAATGACAAATATCGTATGCGATATTTTTCAAGAATATGGCCCCTGATACGTTTCCCAATCTGGGAGTCGATTGTGTATCTTTAAAACAAAGTGAAAATTACAAAAGTGAACAGATTTACTAGATTTCGACAAATGAAATCGTAGATACTCTAGTGAATTTATTCACTTGACCAACCACAGTCGATTATTTCAAGAATATTCTCGGAATAATCGACTGTGGTTGGTCAATATCGCGGGCATAATTGTCCGTCAAAACAACAAAAAACAAACAGTCTCGGCCATCGTGTTTTGCGTGTTATCTAATTTTCCAAAGTGAGATTATATGAAATTGTGAAAACTTGTGCAAAGTAAAGTATGTATTTTACTTCAGATTATGTAATTTATTTCCTAATGTAACCTCAAAATTAAGGCCCTGCGCACAATAGAAAAAATATTAGAAATAAGAATAAAATATTAAATATCAGGAGGAGCAATTTAGAATTATTTTACTTCAAACAAGGAAACGGAATGGATTCATTATTTCTAATTTATATTTTTTTGTTTCATTATGCGTTTCTATTCCTAATATTTTCTCTATTGTGCGCAGGGCCTAAGTCCAATAATTTTTTGTTTTAAATCAAATTAGGTGAATTAAAAAATGTCTAATAGTTGCAGTGCCGGTTATTGCACGAATACAAATAAAAAAGGTTTTCAGATGTGTCGATTTCCTAAGGATTCAGAAAAAAGTGGATCCAGAATATGAATCGTATAGATTGAATTCCAACTTCAGGGAGTCGATTATGTATCTTTGAAACGAAGTGATAATTACAAAAGTGAATAGATTTACTAGATTTCGAAAATGAAATTGTAAATACTCTAGTGAATTTACTCACTTTTGTAATTTTTATATCGTTCCAAGCTTAAAATATATGTATATAAATGGAAGAGGAATGCCTATTGTTCTCGAAAGAAAAACGTGTCCGGAGGAAGTGAGAAAGAAAATCATAATTGTCTCTCTCTTGTGAGTAACTGCTCAAAAGTGCGCATTTGCGGCTTACGTTTGTTTGGCCCAATGAAAAATAAAGTTACATTAGTTACATGTGTATGTACACAAAAATATGTATATGTACAAACACGATGCTTGTATGTGTCAGCAAATGGCAACTATAAAGCAGTTATTCACAAGAGAATGGCAACCCATACACCACAGAAAGGTTGCAGATATATTGCAGAATCATTTCATTGAAACATTGCAATATTGCAAATTGATTGCGAAATATTGCTGCACCATTACTGCAAGATTGCGGCAACGTTAACATGTCCGCTTTTTGAAATATTGCAATGTAACAATGCAGTAATCATCCCATACAGCACTGAAGCTTGCAACAACATTGTTGCAACATTGCAATATTGCATATTGCAGTGTAATATTGCAGAAATATTGCAAAGACATTATATAACTTTAGCAATGTTACAGCAACATTTCGAAAATATTACAAAAAAAGTATTCGATAATCGCTAGTTCATTCGTTTACCGCTATGCGGCGCATGTTGCGCTATCTATCCCGCATTTAATTTTTAGTCACAATGATTATATAAAGTTTACAAAGAGCGGCTAGTAAGATTAAAGATATAATAAATATTTTTATTAGTTTAAGTTGTATGATATGACCCCAACACAGCGGCCTCAGACATTGGACTAAAAATTCTTTTAATAGTTTCCATTCTTATATAAAATAAAAAATTTGATAATAATTTTCTAATATGCAAGATACTTCAGATTTTAATAAATAAATTTTAAGATTATATAAAAACAAGAGAGATGTGAAAAAACTCGTTGTATCCAGCACGTAAATCCAGCACTCTAGATCCTGACTCTTATAGGCCTAATTTCTTATTATTTTTTTTATATGTGAGTCGGACTCGACCCAGAGTCGGGTAGAGTCAACAAATCGAATACGCTATTAATATGTAAGGTCTTAAGATGCTAATACGGCTCTGTGATTGGTTTAGGACATCTTAAGATTGTGCTTAAGACCCTAGTCAGCCACGTCTGTTCTAACAGATATTGTCAAGTGCTTGCTACAAATTATTATTGTCAGCAAAATGGCTAGGTACAAGAGTTGTTATTACCGATTTAGCTGGCAGATTGCCGACAAGAACCAAGCAAAGCTTGCTAACATAACTAGACAGCAAATTGGAGGCAGAAACCGAGCAAAGCTTGCTGACATGACTGACATCAGATTGTCTGCAAAAACTGAGCAAGATCTGGAGTGCGCAATCTGATGGCAAATTGGCAGCAAAAACCGAACAGAATCTGCAGCTTATTACAACCCACTCGGCATGTAATATTTCTGATACATTGCTGCATATTCCATTTGAAATATTACACCTTTCAACAATATTACAGAAATATTTCACGACTGTTTCTGCAACATTTCTGCAATGTTTCAATGTCCGCAATCATTTAAAATGCAACCTTGCTAAAAGATTTCAGCAATATTTCGGTAATATTACTGAAATATTTCCGAAACATATCCCAAGTAGCAAACTGACGTCATATAATGACGGTAAATTTTGGTCACAAAATGACCACTTAGGCATCCTAAGTTAGGTCTCATAAGACCCGAAAATGATGTCGATATGTCACATCCACGAAACGTCATTTTCTGATGTTTGTTTGACAGCAAAACTAAAATCAATTACAGTTATAATATATAATAACATACATTAATGTGATATATATTATAGATAAATTTAAATAATTTAATTTATAAAATTAAAGATCTTTTTGGACAGAAATTGTTCGAATAAGTGAAAATCGAACAATTATCTGTCCGATTTGCCAAAAATCAGTTCAATATCTGAATTTCTTGTATAAGAATTGTGTCAAAAATTGAACTGATAGAAATATATATAAAGATAGTTGTTGCGCCCTTCCGTCGACTCATCCTTCCTCGAGTCTGGACGTAACATTAGTTACAAAAGGACTTTTTGAAAGATTTCAGAAATATTGCAAATGCAATATTTTAAGAAACATGATGCAGGTACATTTCTGAAATATTTCGGATGCAAAGTTACAATTGAAATATTAATGAAATATTTCTGTACCATTTCCGAACATTATAGTATTTCAGCAATATTACATGCCAAGTAGGAAAGTATTATAAAATAGTTCAGTCGCTTATCGCTATGCGGCGCGTTATTCATTATATATACCCGTATTCAAATTCTTGTCATGTGCTTAATGCGGACACAGATGGCACTGGATTTGTTACCAAGTTTTGAGCAAATTTGATGCCAATTTGGCAACAATTTGTTATCAAATTACTTACTGGGACGGTCTTAAATATAAGAACTGACTATGAATACCGGCCTATGAATTAATATGCTTGGTAGTAGCTTTAGCCATGCGATTGCGAATAGTCTATAGATTTAAGAAACCTACATTTATGGAATCATGGATTACATAATACATATATAACAATTTAACAATTTATCTGGAATAACTCCTTTCAGTCATGAAATACTAAAACTTGAATTTCCAAATTAATTACCAGACATGAAACAAATTTAACAAGTGATTCCATAAAATTAATAGTATTAATGTAGCTTTTCATATTATCTTATAGCTTTTTTTCCATGTTATACTATAGTTTTTCTTATTATACTATAGTTTTTCCATATTATACTATAGTTTTCATATTATACTATAGTTTTCATATTATACTATAGTTTTCATACTATAGCTTTAACATTGTAAAACTATCCGAAATGAAAGGACAGCAAGCGATAAGCAGATGCGCAGATCCGCGGCGGCTCCGATAGATCCGCGACGTAGACGCCAAAAACAAACAATCGATAAGGACTTACTGCTAATCGATAGGCAATACTTAGAAATAATTTCATCATAGATTTCCGTAGAAGACCTTCACCTTAATGAATTTCTAGAACGCAAACTAAATTCCCAGAACGATCTGCACACGGTCCGTAACGTTCTTTCTTCTCAATGGTATATATAATATAAGATGCAGATTTTCACCCACAGTCAGTCCCGCCGATCATTTCAATACAAACCGCGTATCTTTCATCTTCATTATACTGTCAGTCTCGCGTTAGATTCATAAGCTCAAGTTGTGTAAAAGTCCGGAATAAAGACTTTGAGCATACACCTATCTACGTCAATTCAGCCTATCTCATCCATAACCGAGATCTTTGCAGATGAGAAGGAAAGGCTTATGTCGAATTCGATTGGATGCACTAGTGCGCACTGAGTGCTCACTCTTTCAGTATTTAGTATTCGGTT